CAGTTTTAGCTGATCGAACTTATCTAAACCAAGTAAATTTAGATCAGCTGAAGTTATATAACATACACCAGTAAATAACGAGTCTCGGAAGGTAAATTTACATCCCTATTGTCCTGGCGGACGATGTCAATCATCACATACTGTCCGAGGCTTCTTTGTTGTGTGCTGCAGGCTTGGGCTGCCCAATTCGATCCAAATTTTGCGTGAGAGTGTGGTGACATCAGGTGCAGTATTTACTTCAATCTACACAAATGCCCGTCAACATTAGGAGTAATCAGTTTTCTCCCACCTGGTGATGAGCTTTGACAGCAATATATTAGGCTCAATGAATGGGTACCGGACCTAGGAACAGGCTTCTTGGCAATCCAGGATCAGTTCGGCTTTCTCTTCAGACAAAATCCATCTTTATGACCGATGAGCTTACACTTCCTGCATTGATGTCGCCTGAATGAGCGGTTTGACATGAGCCGCATTGCCAGCAAGGATACGGTGGATTCGTTTTCCACTGCTGTACTTGGTTGGAGTGGGATTAACCTGGTTTACTAGGTACATCTTTATTCTGACTAGGTAGCTGCTGTACTAAATGCACTTTGTATCGGCTTGACCCACCGTTCTGAAATATAGTTGTGTCTCGTTGTATATTGATGAGTCTTTGATATTCGTTTATTATGTCACTAAGGGTGAGTTTCGGATCTTGCTCTAACCGACATAATAGCCTTGCTCTAATGTAACTGAACATATGAGACTGGAGGCTGCATATGAGTACGAAGGCTTTGAACTGATCTTCTGACAAAGACTTCAACCGAAAGCGTTCGCATCCAGTGTTGACGATGCTGACGTGCGTAAGAAAATCATCGTCTTCGTTCAAAACTAGCTTCAAACATCCACAACGAGTATCAAACATTGACGACTTGTCGTCAAAGTACGGGCTCAATGTCTGAACTGTTTCAAAAAATGATCGATCTCGTGGGTTCGGAAGCAGGATCAAATTGCAGTACTTGTCAAGCACATTTGCCCCGAACTTTTGAAGAAGCAGCTGAACCTTCCAAGCTCCATCTTCATTGGCGAAATCGAATTTAAATAAATCTTCATTTCATCGTACCTACATGTCACAGGTAACTTTGGCATCGAGATCATAATGAAATTTAACTATGCTGTTTGCGATGACGTCGACTGTTGAAGCTTTGGTTGTTAAGATGAGCTGGGCTGTGTGGAAAGAGAAATCTTTATATCTGTCAAAATCTGAATCACTTTCAGCAGCTGCTCAAGTAATAATTCATGTTTCCAAAACCACCGTTGTTAATTGTTATGCTCGTCTTTAGCTTTGCTTCAAACTATCACGGGTTTACCTTAGTTGATAAACGAGAACGAGACAATGAACCAGTGAGTGGTTAGGCTACTCTGATACGTTGACCCAAAGGAACTAACGAAAAAGTATTGGTATAGCGTAGAAAGTGCATTCAACAAACACCCAACAAACACAACGAATCAAGCACACAAATCGCGTTTATTTATACATCACGAAGTCGTCCTTGGGAGAGTCACAAAAGTAGCACACTAAATTGTGATTTCAAGATACGTTTGCATAAATAAACAACATGAAACGTACCAAATACAAGGTGAATTCATTAATTTCACGAGTCCTCGTCTTCTGTTTACAACTTCAGAACATAACGCCATGTTTCTGATTCACAAAAAAAATCCTTTTGTTATATTCCTCGGTCATTCTGAGCTACATTGAATTGTATGTTTTCTTTTGAATGACACAAACTGTTTCCCTAGATATTCGATTAATCTAAATTAAAATTCAGTGAACCTAAATAGTTTCAATCCCACAAATTCATCTTCTAAAATATCAAACTGACGCTTGATTCTCATAAGCTAACGAAGACTGCTTGTAGCTGAGGATTGAATAATCCAGTCCTACATCTGAGCAACATAAGTGAAAATTCCAAATAAATAACTCAAAGAATACAACACCTCTACAATATGCTATTGGTTCGATATTACTGTCAAGATACAAACTTAGTAATCGAAGTCTTTACCAAGCAAATCAAGTAATTGATGTAGATAAAAATTGACTTTCACATGAATTCACCGGTAAAAGGGGTAATCAACAAAGGTCGAAACATGTCTCAATCCTCCCTTTATATAGTGTATTACTAATACTACTAAGTGATTTGTAGGTAGTATCAGAACTGCTAACAAATGTTTGCTTGGAATCGACCACATAAATATGAGAATAAAAACCTCACCTTGTAAGCATCTCATCAAACCCTTATAGCTTCAAATCTTTCAAAATTTAAGTTAAAAGCGTATTGGAAAATACCTGAAGTGATAAATTTACCCATAGATCGATGTGCACACATTTGTATAGTGTATATTATTCGTCAAATCCTTGTTTAATTTATCGATGATACACTTGCTTACCACTCCATAAATTACGGTTTCAGTTATTTTCTGGTTATTGACTGGATATACAACTTAAAGATTTGTATGTGTAATCCATCCCAAATATTTTGGTGGAGCACAATTATTCACACTATTGCTATGATGTTTATTGGATTATTCGGTGAAGTATGTAGTACATCACACACGTTTCAGTAGGTTCACACCTAATTCGGTGAAACCTTTTAGACTTACACACTTGCAAGACACTCATTTGTATAGCGACAACTTTTCTGTACCATTGACTTTTGTTATTGTCGGGTTTGTATGAACAGGTATGATTGAATATTGCTTACCGCCTACGTGCATATTCATTCTTTTCACTTTAATGTTAGCCTCTGAAATATTATGACAGCTCAGTTATTTTCTTTAGTACATGCTTGTACATTTTAATCCTGTTCATTGACTCGTTCGCTCTTCGGCACTGGTATATCAGTTTGCTTCATGTGCCTGTGGTTTCGTGATAGATGTGTGGTGAAATAACAAACCCATTCAACGCTTCATATTCGTCTTCCAATTTATACACTGTTGGGCATTATCTAGTAACGGTTATCAGGACGAGTAGTATACGAAGTTTGGGAATATAACAAATATCGACCACCATAGAACTGATGAGCCAACATCCAACACAATTGGTTTGTTGCAACATAAGGTTAAAAAGTCCGTCCCAGTTATTAGTACCTGTATGATTGCCTCACACAACTGAGTTACACTTAGCAGGTTACAATTGCAAAATAACTGTTGTGTTCGGTTCTTTAAACAAATATAAAACTACCCCAATGCCAGGATACGTTTACAAATAAATTATAAGAATCAGATTTATGCATTTTACAGTCTCATAGGTTAGGCATGACTAAACCATAATATACATTACAAGACGAGTTATTTATAACTATTTGAGATACGAATTTGATTGTAGGTCAGTGCCATTCGGTTTATTTGTTCTAAACAATAAAAAACAGTAGAATACTAAAGTAGGAGTAACATGGAGCTAAGTATATGGATTGTGTACTTTTCTACTGTATTGTTATTTTCGTACTTCGAATTCAATCGGCAACTCATACTGCAACAGACCTCTATACCTTCCTTGGTCAGATAAAACACTAAATCAGCAGTCCAATAGATACTGAGCATCATTTTTTATCAATTGCTTTCGTATTCACTGTTGACTGTCGTTTTGTAATTAATTTTCTCTAATTCTAAACTAATTCATTGACAATTACTCTCTGGTGTTTATTATCTATATCAATAATTGTATATATTTCATAAGCACATCAATAGATATGCTTGAAACTAATACGAGTTCGCCTTACTCGGAAAACATGAGCGAAGATGATGTTGCAGTGACACGATGAACCACTCTATTCCGAACATCACAAGGTTCCACTAAGAACGGAAAGATGTCTTGATATGGCGTAGAACGTTTATTCTACAAGCACCCACAATATTCAGGTTTTTAGGCATATAAATCGAGTGTATATTTACATGATAGTAAAATCCTTGAGAGACCTACAAACAGAGCGTACTAAAATAATCGATCAATCAATAACAGCCAAAAGATTCTACGGGTGAGTAACGTAACCTCAAGGTCAACTAACCAGATCACGCACGAAAATGTAAAATCTAAAAGTAGGACTTTAATCGAGTGAGTTCTGGGAATATGACGTTCCCCACAACATTTCAACTAACAATTATTTTGTGCTCGTTGAGTTATTTCGTCCATTTCACTGTCACCACTGGCTCACAAACTGCCTTGATTGGCTTAAAGCTTTCCATAAATCAATAGGAATACTACTGCTTATCAGAACAATATAGTTCGCTATAATGTTATCTTAACTACAATGATTACATGACAAGTGATTAAAATCTTATTATTAAGTTGATACAATCTTGTGCAGGGTTAGCTGTTACAAATCGACGGGAAGAACAGCATACAAAAAATGCTTGCATTGTTACTAAGAGTTGTCAGGAGACACGGCATTTTATCAGTGTCTTCATCAAGTAGGACTATGACATCAGCATATTCTAGGTCAACATTCGAACCTCATGGTGAAAATTCAACTCCTTGAAAGTTGGATGATGAAATCGTCGTGTTTTAAACAGAGATAGATATAGATATGCGTATCTAAAAGCACGTCAATGCCAAAGCTTACCAAAAATGTAGAAAGAGGACAACATTGACAAACGCCATTTCTAATATAATCAGTTCCAATGACAGTTCACCATAAGCTCTGACTCGACCAGAAGTATTCGAGTTGTTTTCAGAGCTTATACACTTATCTCACTAAACAATCCACACCTGCCTATCATCTGTAACAATTCATCAACTTGACAGCGATCGATTACTCTAACAGAAGAATCTTGATGAGCTGTTACAGCTAAGCTGAGATTTTTTTAGAAAATCCTGTCTACTATTTATTTCGACCGAATTATTAACAAGAAATAGCGAAACGTCATTAAGGACAATGCTTGATTGTCTTCACTACATTGGAAAAGACGAATTTTCAGTAATAATGGAAGGTAGTCATTTAACGAATTATTTGTAAACATACATATATATATATTGCAGATTTTGATCAAATGAACAAAAATATCAAGGTTAAGTTGATTGTTGACACGTGTATACAATAATTGGCATTGGTAGATGACTAGATCGGACGGGACTGCGTTTATCACTTGTAAATTGGGATGCCCAATTGCAGTATGCCTGTCGAATTGTATTTTTAATTGTTTTATTATTATCTATTATACGCCAACGATCTTTTAAATTGATTTGACTACGATTACTATGTCGAAATGATTGTTGCCAGATTTGAGACCAACTTTTTGTACCAGGAACATGCATTACTCCATGCCATAATGCTATGGATTCTTCAATTGTCCAAGGTGTTTTACGTGACTTCGATTCGTCTATTGACAGGTGGATGATACATTTTCTAGTTTTTTCTGAAAAGAAAAACTGAGGAGTCAGGTTAATCTCTCAACTCTGTCGAAATGTTGTTGAAATTTAAGTTATATTCGTTTATCAAAATATAGGATTGATGTTATATACATGTAAATAAATTGATTGAATCATCTAACTGGGCCACTGGTTAACGAATTATTCAATCTTTCATCAACTTTCATTGATACAAATGTCAAGTACCTGTGAACACAGATCATTTGTATGCAAGTTTATACTCAGTTGTTTTATTTGTAAATGATGGTGAATTTATCCAATTCAGATAACTGTGTGGCTCAATCAGCAGACTTATTGGTTAAGAGTGATCATTCAAGAATCAAGCCAAATGAGAATATCAACATTGACAGAACAACACCATCATCAACAAGTTCCGTTTGTTCAACGAAATTCAATGAGTTTTGAGGCAATCAACTTAACGTAATACTTAAAAATGAGTTCATTATTGCGACCAAAACAAACATTTCTATAGATACTTGAATATGAAAATATGTACTTACCTTCAGGGACTGGTGTACAACAACACCCTGATGTTGATGGTCCACAAAATTGTTGAAAACACAATTTGTCAACTAATTTCTTTCCATTTAATTCACAATTCATATCTCCCTGTTCATTATCACTAATTATGGATTCACATCTTAAATTGTTACTTTCATCATCTAAAATGTTTAGAATAATGAAAGACAAAAAAAACAGGATTCAATGGAATACGCATACTGATCAGATTATCTCATATATTGACTTATTCCAGTGAACTTTCACTAATCACAAAGTAAACTAGTCAGACACACAGACACAACGCAGAACTACGTACATTAGTACATCAGTTCAAGTTGCCATACCACGTCATCACAGAGACGTAACTGTCAGTGTAAATTCAAGAGTGATAGCGATAGTAGAATTATTAGCAGCAATGGAGAATATTAGGCAGAGACGATTCGAAAAGTATAATTCAGTGAGATATATTTAGAAAGAGTAAGATAGAGATGTTGAGGAATTCAGAAAGTTATAATTAAAAGCACACAAAGAGTGGATGCACCTGCGCCGTTGCAAACGATTTTGAGCCATGTCGTTCAAGGTCTCTAACCATTGATGGCTTCGATCTCGCGAACCACAACCAGGTAGCCTACATCTACATGGCTCTAGCTTTCTTTCAACCTACTCCTACACTACAAAACATAGAGGTCTATTACAGTATGAGTTTCCGATTGAATTCGAAGTACGAAAATAACAATACAGTAGAAAAGTACACAATCCATATACTTAGCTCCATGTTACTCCTACTTTAGTATTCTAATGTTTTTTTATTGTTTAGAACAAATAAACCGAATGGCACTGACCTACAATCGAATTCCTATCTGAAATAGCTATAAATAACTCGTCTTGTAATGTATATTATGGTTTAGTCATGCCTAACCCATGAGACTGTCAAATGCATAAATCTGATTCTTATAATTTATTTGTAAACGTATCCTGGCATTGGGGTAGTTTTATATTTGTTTTAAGAACCGAACACAACAGTTATTTTGCAATTGTAACCTGCTAAGTGTAACTCAGTTGTGTGAGGCAATCATACAGGTACTAATAACTGGGACGGACTTTTTAACCTTATGTTGCAACAAACCAATTGTGTTGGATGTTGGCTCATCAGTTCTATGGTGGTCGATATTTGTTATATTCCCAAACTTCGTATACTACTCGTCCTGATAACCGTTACTAGATAATGCCTAACAGTGTATAAATTGGAAGACGAATATGAAGCGTTGAATGCGTTTGTTATGCCACCACACACCGATCACGAAACCACAGGCACATGAAGCAAACTGATATACCAGTGCCGAAGAGCGAACGAGTCAATGAACAGGATTAAAATGTACAAGCATGTACTAAGGAAAATAACTGAGTTGTCATAATATTTCAGAGGCTAACATGAAAGTGAGAAGAATGAATATGCACTTAGGTGGCGAGCAATATTCAATCATACCTGTTCATACAAACCCGAATATAATAAAAGTCAATGTTACAGAAAAAATGTCGCTATACAAATAAGTGTCTTAGAAGTATGTAAGTCAAAAAGGTTTCACCAAATTAGGTATCAACCTACTGAAATGTGTGATGTACTACAAAATTCACCGAATAATCCAATAAACATCATAGCAATAGTGTGAATAATTGTGCTCCACCAAAATATTTGGGATGGATTACACATACAAATCTTTAAGTTGTATATCCAGTCAATAACCAGAAAATAACTGAAACCGTAATTTATGGAGTGGTGGGCAAGTGTATTATCGATAAATTAAACAAGGAGTTGACGAATAATATACACTATACAAATGTGTGCACATCGATCTATGGGTAAATTTATCACTTTAGGTATTTTCCAATACGCTTTTAACTTAAATTTTGAAAGATTTGAAGCTATAAGGGTTTGATGCGATGCTTACAAGGTGAGGTTTTTATTCTCATATTTATGTGGTCGATTCCAAGCAAACATTTGTTAGCAGTTCTGATACTACCTACAAATCACTTAGTAGTATTAGTAATACACTATATAAAGGAAGGATTGAGACATGTTTCGACCTTTGTTGATTATCCCTTCTACTGGTGAATTTATCATAATTCATGTGAAAGTCAGCTTTTATCTACATCAATTACTTGATTTGCTTGGTAAAGACTTCGATTATTAAGTTTGTATCTTGACAGTAATATCGAACCAATAGCATGTTGTAGAGGTGTTGTATTCTTTGAGTTATTTATTTGGAATTTTCACTTATGTTGCTCAGATGTAGGACTGGATTATTCAATCCTCAGCTACAAGCAGTCTTCGTTAGCTTATGAGAATCAAGCGTCAGTTTGATATTTTAGAAGATGAATTTGTGGGATTGAAACTATTTAGGTTCACTGAATTTTAATTTAGATTAATCGAATATCTAGGGAAACAGTTTGTGTCATTCAAAAGAAAACATACAATTCAATGTAGCTCAGAATGACCGAAGAATATAACAAAAGAATTTTTTTGTGAATCAGAAACATGGCGTTATGTTCTGAAGTTGTAAACAGAAGACGAGGACTCGTGAAATTAATGAATTCACCTTGTATTTGGTACGTTTCATGTTGTTTATTTATGCAAACGTATCTTGAAATCACAATTTAGTGTGCTACTTTTGTGACTCTCCCAAGGACGTCTTCGTGACGTATAAATAAACGCGATTTGTGTGCTTGATTCGTTGTGTTTGTTGGGTGTTTGTTGAATGCACTTTCTACGCTATACCAATACTTTTTCGTTAGTTCCTTTGGGTCAACGTATCAGAGTAGCCTAACCACTCACTGGTTCATTGTCTCGTTCTCGTTTATCAACTAAGGTAAACCCGTGATAGTTTGAAGCAAAGCTAAAGACGAGCATAACAATTAACAACGGTGGTTTTGGAAACATGAATTATTACTTGAGCAGCTGCTGAAAGTGATTCAGATTTTGACATATATAAAGATTTCTCTTTCCACACAGCCTAGCTCATCTTAACAACCAAAGCTTCAACAGTCGACGTCATCGCAAACAGCATAGCTAAATTTCATTATGATCCCGATGCCAAAGTTACCTGTGACATGTAGGTACGATGAAATGAAGATTTATTTAAATTCGATTTCGCCAATCAAGATGGAGCTTGGAAGGTTCAGCTGCTTCTTCGAAAGTTCGGGGCAAATGTGCTTGACAAGTACTGCAATTTGATCCTGCTTTCGAACCCACGAGATCGATCATTTTTTGAAACAGTTCAGACATTGAGCCCGTACTTTGACGACAAGTCGTCAATGTTTGATACTCGTTGTGGATGTTTGAAGCTAGTTTTGAACGAAGACGATGATTTTCTTACGCACGTCGGCATCGTCAACACTGGATGCGAACGCTTTCGGTTGAAGTCTTTGTCGGAAGATCAGTTTAAAGCCTTCATACTCATATGCAGCCTCCAGTCTCATAGACATTAGAACAAGGCTATTATGTCGGTTAGAGCAAGATCCGAAACTCACCCTTAGTGACATAATAAACGAATATCAAAGACTCATCAATACACAACGAGACACAACTATATTTCAGAACGGTGGGTCAAGCCGATACAAAGTGCATTTGGTACAGCAGCTACCTAGTCAGAATAAATGTGTACCTAGTAAACCAGGTTAATCCCACTCCAACCAAGTACAGCAGTGGAAAATGAATCCACCGTATCCTTGCTGGCAATGCGGCTCATGTCAAAATCTACGAAACTGCTCATTCAGGCGACATCAATGCAGGAAGTGTAAGCTCATCGGTCATAAAGATGGATTTTGTCTGAAGAGAAAGCCGAACCGATCCTGTATTGCCAAGAAGCCTGTTCCTAGGTCCGGTACCCATTCATTGAGCCTAATATATTGCTGTCAAAGCTCATCACCAGGTGGGAGAAAACTCATTACTCTTAATGTTGACGGGCATTTGTGTAGATTGCAAATAAATACTGCATCTGATGTCAGCATACTCTCACGCAAAATTTGGATCGAATTGGGCAGCGCAAGCCTGCAGCACACAACAAAGAAGCCTCGGACAGCATGCGATGATTGCCTTCGTCCGCCAGGACAATAGGGATGTAAATTCACCTTCCGAGGCTCGTTATTTACTGGTGTATGTTATGTAACTTCAGCTGATCTAAATTTACCTGGTTTAGATAAGTTCGATCAGCTAAAATTGGCTGATGTGCCATTAAATACCATACGCCACCTGGTATCACAATCACATGACCCTGAAACACATAAGGGAAATTCAGTGACTGAGTTTTCAACCGTCTTGCTGATACGCTCGTCTCTAGGTGTGCTTAAAATATTACGAGTTCACCTTAGTCGAAGAACGAGAACAAAACATAAAACCAGCGTCCAGGTAGGCCAGTCTGATCCGTAACCGAATTGAATCAACAAGAAATGTCGATAAAGTGCAGAAATTGTATTCCGTAAACACAAAGCCAGCAAGCAATGAATCCAAGCACTCAAATCTCGTTTATTAACACGCCATAGAGACGTCCTTGAGACAGTCCAATATCCAATATCTTTTTCACGAGCTAGTGTAAACCAATTTGATTTCTTCGCGCTCGATTATTGTTCTCTCGGTATGGTTCCAGGTGTTCGGTATTGTCAAATGGATGAAGGTCTAGCCATTCGAATGCCTAATTTTAGTCCGTTGGCAGTTGGTTGTGAGTTTGTATGCCTCGGGATTTGAATTAAAACGTTTGTTTCAGGACAGTAGGCTTCTGGATACTAGCAGCCGTCACATTACCAGACCGGAGATCAGTTCGATGCAATGTGGAGGGTAATGAGGATAATAAGGGTAATAAGGATAAATTAAAATGATAATATGAGTAAAATTTTAGAACTGAGTAATATATAGATGAATTTAGTTTATTAATTGGTAGTGAAGATTGTGAGAGAGGACCGAAGTGTGAGCAAGTGAGAGGAAACAGAGATAATAGATTAATTAAGTGATCTGAGGAGATGGCGATGGTAACAACTAGCAGGTCTCAAGATATGCATCAGGCACAGCTTGTCCAAGAGGGAGATGATAGTCCGTATGTGAGTACGTGATTATCAAGTATCTTCCTGAAGCAGTCCACTGAGGGGGCTGTGGTCACTTTGGCTGGGAGA